CCGGGTTTACATAACGTCTCGATGATTTCACGGTGTTTGGGTTTGCAGCTTTGGAGCCTCGCCATAGTGTAATATGTCCCGCGACAACAGCCGCTGGACCATGACCCCTTAAGACTTGAGCCCTACTACGAACTGGGGCTGATGCCATAGTGCCATAGTACAGTAAGATGAGGATCGGAAACTGAGGCTGGTGAGTTTGGGGGGGCTAAGACCTGCAGTTAAAACTCTGATGAGATTGAGTTTTCGCTTGCCAGGCCAGGTGTGTGTTCTCCGGATAAGGTGTCATAGAACGTGGCACAAGCATCCGCAAACACATACCAGCACATACTGACGGTTCGTAAACGGTGTGTACAACTGACAACTGACCATATTTAGCACTGCAAACGGTTTTTCATGTCCTCAATGTTTTTTGTCAAAGCTGCCTTCTTGTTACCATGCACAAAGTCGTGGATGCATGCCTGTTCCATACCGGCTCGATTTATATGGGTGTGTTACAGGCCAATTCCGGCTCTCTGCTGGGACATGCAGTGCAACTGGAATCGCGCTGCTGCAAACTACAAAACAATCAAGTTAAAAGCCAGCGCTCGCTCTGGAATCGAAACCTCGGGTTTCGCGTCGCGAAAGAGCACTGTCTGCACACACACACACACAGACACGTGCTGCAGGGCCCATCACCATGTCCCACCCCCACGCCACCCCTGTGGTGCTCTCGGCTTCTTTCTCTCTCCCCTCTGAGGTGGTGCCTGTGGTTCACCATTTGCTAGGGTAGGCAGGAACACCGGCCCCCTTTCCAAGCTGAAGTCTAAGTGTTGTGTTTGCTCCAGCATGCCACCAAGCAGAAGCTGCAATCTTGGCTGACTCGTTGCAGGCCGCGCATGTTGTAATTGGATGGGTTGGCTGCTCAGCAGCTAGCAAACCTACAGAGGTATGCTTGCAGCTATCTGCCGGCAGTAGCATTGCCATTCCTATTGCGATTGCTATTACACCAGAGCTAGCAGTTGTGTCCCCTTTTCCGCTGCCGATGTTGTCTCTGTCGCATTCTGTCGCTGTGGTATAGCCTTCGCTCTGGTGCAGCCGCGGCGCGTTGCATTGACACCCGTCGACTCCACCACCTGTAGCCTAGCCCCACGAAGACAAACAATCATGCAAATCACGACTACCTGCCAGCTACTTTGCCATGTTTCAGACGGGAAGTTGCCCTGCATGTCGAAAACTTGCGAGAGTCAGGGGCAACGTGACACAAAAAGTTCCAATCCCAGCCAGCGACTATGGGCAGATTAAATTACATCGCGATAACAATCCCATCCTCTGAAAACGAGGTCACCAGAATCGTGGCCCCCATTGGGGGTCAGGCGGGGGGGGGGGAGGGGGAGGAGTTGGCCCCGCACCATGCATACACACATTTACTGTTCCCTCCGAAAACCCCGGAGCCCATTTTCTTCTTGCACTCGGACATTCCACAAATCAGAAGATCCAACGCCTCAGATCCTGGCCGTTCGCCTTCAGAATGTTGTGCCTGGGCATCAGAATCCACGATTAGGTTTTATGGTTTAGTATCCGATAAAAATCCTGTAGAAAAACTTTACAGAATCTGGTGCTTTCAATCCTAGTCCAGGTTCCCAGCTGAGACATTGTGCAAGACCGGGGATTTGCAGGTTTTCTAGTCCTCATGTGGTTAAGGACATGAGCTGGGGTTTAGGGATTAGATGTTTGGATGCACAGCAAGCTTAAATGTAGGGACGATGTCATATGCATCCTGGCGACATCAGCAGCCTCAGTGCCAGCGAAGTTGACGAATGTCGTGCGGACAGCACGAGACCGACGAAACCAAAATCTTCTGGACAATACACAAGAATGCAATCAAACAACAATTCGGATTGCAAGCGTGTGGTTTGCCAGAAGGTCGAAAGAGAGAGCCATTCGTTTGGAACGTGTCTACCCCTGAAAAAACCAAAGAGTCCAAAGCTAGAATCCTCAATCCTGTGCCAAGACGATCTAAATTAATAAAGGGGCCTAAATAGCTACCTGAATCATTTTTGGGGGCGGTTCCGCATTATAATTATGGTATGCTGGGCCCCAAAACCCTATTCTAATTATTAAGGCCCCTAAATCATGCCTTCAGCGCCACGAAACACCTAGGAAAACTTGGAAGCTCAAGCCCATCAGAGGACTTCAAGACTTCAAGGGATGTTTTGGCCTAAACCCTAAACCCTAAGCCGAAATAGGGTTTAGGGTTTAGGGTTTAGGGTGTTGGGTCTGTCTTGTGAAACTCTCAACTTTCGTGGGGCCCGGTTGTTTACTAAAGGGAGTCAACCCCACAACCCTTGAAACCATAGGTCCCGATAGTATAGGGGCTTTAATAATTAGAATATATGGCTTTGGGGGCTAGATTAGACTGTACTTAAAACATTAACAAGGAACCCCCCCCAAAAAAAAACCCTGTTAAAATTATTAAGGCCCGTATATTACTCATGACAGCCATAGAACCCAAGAAGCCTTCACCACCAAAGTTCTCTTCGGAAAGCCCAAGCCGCAAATCCCCAAGACCTGTTAATATCCGGCACTAAGTAATCATCTATACTGTCTTGGGGATCCTTTTTATACTTATAGTACACTGTTAGCCCCACGAACCCTAAACCCGATCCCCTACAGACCCTACTCGTAATTCCTCAGCCGCAACCGAGGATATGACCAGAGCGCTTCTGGAGGCCCCTTCGGACGTGAATGGGTGGTTTAGGGATTAGGGTTCCCAAAGACACAAGGATTAGGGCTTCGGATTTAGAGTTTTAGGGTTTCCGATCTAGAGTTTTAGGGTTTCGGGTTTAGGTTTCAGCTGACGCCCTGAAACTCGCGGACTGCTGAACCACGACAGGTAATGGTCAGAACAGCGGCCTCTGCATTCTGAGCTTAGGGTTCAGGGCCAGCCTGTTGTTCTCGTCATCCTGACATCGTCCGTCCATACTGACTCAGTAAAGTCAGTAGTTATTACATACGCACTTCCAATTTGGTGGATGTCCATGCAGCCCAAAACCCTAAAGCCTAAAGCCCTAAACCCCAAGCTGCAGCAATTCGAATCCGGGAGCCTTCCTGCGGCACGAGGTGCCCGGCATCGACCTGCACCAGAAATCCATGGCTTCGAACTCAGCATGGAAGTGATCCTTCATAATCATCTTTTGTTGTCATTTTTATGGTTCTCGATGATGTTACGTTTAAACTAGTATAACTAATATGCGGTTATGCTGTTGCATTGTTGTGTTATTCGATTAGTATTGTACTGTATTGTTAGACAAGTAGAATGTTGTATGGCTACCTTAACATAGTTTTGGATGCTGGGAAATGCATAGACAACTGTGGGTCAGACAATATGCAGTTGTACATGGACCTTAGTTGCGTTTTCCGGTTTAGAGTTTAGGGGCAGTCTCGCAGCAACTCATGGTGGTATGCTTGCCTATGTAAGTTTCCCGGCCCACACCCCAAGCCCGAATGGAAAAACGGTGCAGTCTCATCCCATTAGGGACTAGGGTTTAGGGTTTAGGGTGTACGTGCTCTGGCCAATCTGTGCAACAGCCGGTGCCGCTGCCCACAACTTGTTTCTCGCTCAAAGGCTCTGCACTCGTAGCACGGCTAAGATAGGGGCCTTCAATAATTACCTATCTACCATTTCGGGGGTTCCTTATTCTGACTATGGTTTTTTAATATACCCGGAAACCCTCTTGATATTATTAAGGCCCCTACATTACGCTGCTGCCCCATGACCACAGTGCATCTGTTGGGGTTCGTTTCGCTATCCTCATCCTTATCGCCTCCTGAAGTCATGCTCCCCGCTTGGCGAGGAGTGCAGACTTTGAGTGGTTCCGGTGGAGGATTTAGGGGTTCTACCGTCTACTCCAAACCTAGGCTCCTGAGTAGTATACCCTTATTACTACAGGGGTCACTCAGGAACCTAGAAATCCTAAACCCTACGTGGCATGAACCGAAAGTGGCAGAGGGTCTCTGTGGATCTGGAATGTCATCCCAGGGCGGTCTTGGTTCCTTCGGGGCGCCGTAGGGAACTGAGATAGCACGATCGGAACCTTCATTTAAAAAAAGTTTTTGGTGTAGATCATACTGTAATTCTAGTAGGTATTGATTTGCCCGAGCCTCAGAAGTAGAAGAGGGTGTTGGTGTAAGGTAACTCTAGTATAAGAATTCTCGGGGCCTTATACATAGCAAAAGGTTTTGGTGTATGTTATGTTGGATCTATAGTAAGGGACCCCAAAACAGTCTTAGTGAGTTGTTCGGCCCTGATATTCCTTTTTGGCAACAGTTTTTTGAGGCGTGTAGAGCCTGAACTACTCACTGGCGTGAGCCCTGAACCGGCACAATCGGCCCAATTTAGCAGCCCCAAAGCCTAGCCAACGGCTTCAACACGGCGTATTAAGGATCTCTCTGGTATGTCTCGCCCCAGGCTTGCTCCCGAAGGCACAGCATCACCTCCGACCCGCAACCCGAACCTCTAATCGAGGGGCCTTAATAATTACCTATAGTATTTTGGGGGTTCCTTGTTGTAATTATAGTATACTGGGCCCCAAAACCCTCTTCTAATTATTAAGGCTTCTACATCAGCAACAGCCTGAATCCCCCAAATTCCTCAGCAAAAACCTGTTGTTGTGAGGCTGGTGCCCCTTTCGGCAAGGACACGGGAAGCAGGGGGCGAGGTGGTGATCATATTTCAGCAAGTACTCAAGTCAATCTGTGTGCGGCCTCTGCTGCGATGCTGTTTCGTCCAGAGTCTCGCACATCTTCGCTGGTCCAGACACGAGAAGAGCGTGAAAGTTGACAGCAAGCAAGCCCGAAGTGTTGTCGTGCTCCTAGGGACGTAGCAGAAAGTCTGACAACGAGTAGTTGTTTCCGGCGTGTAGACCCTACATGACATTCGCAGCCAAAGTTTCTGCCATTTTCGTTGGCATGGCGTGCCATGCGGCAGCCGCGTGACCAGTTAGCAGACTCGACGAGGGAGCATGGTTCAGATCGTGAGCAAAGCACTGCTGCTATGTTTCTGTCTGTCTGGCGCACGCGAGCGCATGAATCCCTTCAAACCGCTGACAGTACTCGTACCCCTGCCTGATAGTGACAAGATGCTGGTTCACATCAGCTGGAATCATTCTTCGGATGGGAACTGGCAACTCATGTACCACATGTCCACGGGCGAACATGGTCGACCCGTGCCGCTTTCTGGCGGCCAACTGCGTGAGTTTACAGCGCGGCTAGAGAGTGGTTTTGCTGTGCCGCGCGTACTTGATCCTGTGTCTTTCAACATGAAGAAGAGGAGGTGGAGAAAGGGCTGGGTTCGGTCAGGAAGATGTGGCAGTTTAGAGCCTTATTGGGACAAGAGCTCAAAGAATCTTTCTATGGCAATCTGGGACGCCTACAGCGTGCTGGCAGCTTCGGACTTGCCCAAAACGAAGGTTCTAGTCAACGTCGGAGCTGGAGACGGGCCAGGAGCAGGCCAAAGTGTGGACCCCGTGTGGGTTTTGGCCTTGGGCTTCCAGCTCGACGCAGTCTTTGTGGAGCCTGGGTCACGTGATTTCGAGAAGCTCAAGCAGAATATCGAGTCACATCGAATGCCGCTGGGGCTCTCTAGCGAGCCCTACCAAATGGCACTAAAGCCCGATGACATCCCAAAGCTGGTACAAGGCTCTGCTGTATTGCAAAAAGATTTGCGTTGGCTCGACGTGCTAAAGGTTGATATAGATGTGAACGATTGCGATGTGGCCGCATCTTTTCTGAGAGAACGTCGCGCCCGGATTGTTGTGATCGAAGTGAACCCCTCCTTCCCGCCGCCCATTCATTTCTGCCAACATGCGACCTCGCCGCCTCACGGCAACACAAAGCCACTGCATGGATGTTCCTTGAGCTACATGGTGGAGTTGTTCGCAGGCTTCGACCTATGGCTCTATCGCTTCGATGGCCAGGACGGACTCTTCGTCGACTCCTTTTTGGCGAAAGAGATGAGAGAAGCTTTCGGCGAGCGCTTTCCCAAGGATGAGATCGACTGCTTCCAGTGGCCGCAGCTTTTGCCCTCGACGGCTTCGGCACCTGTCGACGACTTCCGGAACTGGTTTTACGACACAAAAGCGGAGGAGATGTTAGACGTGGCTCTAACAACGGCGAAGGCCCAGTATGCCCGCGAGAGGAGATTGTGTCCCATCGGACCAGAGGCCCAGTGCAAGTGGCACGACGTTGCTCTGGCTGGTGCCGGGACGATGGTGAGGGCTCCACCCTACAAGTGGCTGGATGCGGGGTCCCAGCTCGCGTGCAAGCAGGCCTGTTGCGATGACACATCCTGTCGCGCAGCGACCTTTTCAGGGTCGGGCGGAGGCACTTGCATGTTGCACAAGCAGGTCCCTGTTTTGCCTCGCGGTCCTCTTCCAGAGTCCGGCGGCGACGCTGTTGACGTTGTGCACGTCCGTCGTGAGGCGAGGGATGAGGAAGCATGTATGAAAGCTTTTCAAGTCTTGCAACCACACTTGCCGATGACCATCGGCTTGCCAATCTGTGGACCTTCTTGCCAATTCCCTGTGTGGCCTTGAAGATCTGGAATAACCAGGTTACTGTGAGACATGTGAGACTCATGATTAGATGTACAGGATTCCTCCGGCTTTCCCGATTATAACATGTTAACCATCCTCCAGTCATGCGCACTCTGGATGAGGCCAACATGGGTTGGGTTTTGGGTTTAGAGTTTAGGGATATGTATGTATGTATATATATATATATATATATTCCAGTCTTTTGTGGGAGCACTCCCACTGCATAGCAATTGGTTCTGGGTCCCTGCACGTTGTGCAAACATTGAACAGGGCTGATGTAATCTGACCGTATCCGCTTGCAAAAGTATTTCAATACAAGTTGAAGAACCTAACCCCCTAAACGCTGTTTGTTTCTCACGGCCTGGGAGATCCATCAACACTTGCATTAAACAGACCCAGCAAAGGGTGTCAACCCAGTGCAGAAGCTCAAGGCTCCATACTCCAAGTTTCGGGAGTTTGGCAGGCATATTTGGAGCTGAAGACTTAGGTGACTTGGGCTGGATATATTCAATTTCTTTGTATGTCTGGGGATTTCCCTGTACCTTGCGAGGCATTCGTCCTCGGAGCTCGTATTAGAGACTCCAGCAGAACATTGGGGGCTTACCCGGACCCTAAATAACAGAAGATGTGCATAGCCCGAAATACAAGGCATAAGGGAGGTCTCAGGCATCAGGGCCATGGTATCGACGAGCATAATCGTGAAGGCATCTAGAACAGCACCAGGCATCTGAATCCTGAGAAGCGCAATCTTCCAAGTCTAAGGGTCAAAAACCGAACGCCGTAACAGCCCTAACGCCCAAGAACCAAAAACCATTACATGGAGTAACCCCTCAGACCCCATGATCATGGCTGCATTCACTGTCTTTTCCGCTACCTTGGTTATTCTGGGAAAGTGCTCAATATCAGCTTCTGGAGTCTCTGCAACCCTAGTCTGAAGCCCACCTACAGAGCCCGGTTGAACCCTAAACCGTCAGCTATGGGGGAATCGGGTCTTGGAGTGACCCCAAACGCTGAACGCCAGCCCTCAACTATCCAGGGGTTTAGGGCATAACAGCAATAGCAACAACAACAACAACAATAACAATAAACATGACAGTTTCAATAATAAGAACAGTAATAGCAATAATATTGATTCTAAACAACAACAATAAGAATTGTAATTACAATAATAATGAAAATGATAAGAATGATCTCTTTAAGGGTTTGGGGACGTTGGGGCCTCGGAAGTCATATCCTGAAGAAGATAGGTCACTGAGAGTTTGCTCCGATCTAGCCTGTTGCTAAGCCTAACCAGAGGCCCCATAGTATTTCCTTTTTGGGGTTCATTAGAATCCTATAAGGTAATCCCAAAAAGGAACTACTATGGGGCCTATGGGTAACCCTAAAACCGTAAACCCTAAACCCTAACCCGAAACCCTGAACCCGAAACCCGAAAGCCTAAGCCCTGGTATTTGGAAGGCAAACAGGGCCTCAAACCCTAAGCCTTAAATCCTTTTGCCACAAAAGCCGAATCCCGCATTCGCAACAGAGTATAGTGCAGCATCGTATCGTTCAGCTTCGTTTAGTTTAGCACAGGACAGGTTACGTTTAGCATGGTAGAGTATAGTAGAGTAAAATAGTGCAGAGTGTAGTACTGTATAGTATTCCGCCCACCACAGATCTTCGTTCAGAGAGTCTTGCGTGCTCTAACTGCACACGTTCATGGTGATGTTCCTCCCAGCAGGCATAAATCCTAAACCCTACTGTAAACCCTAAACCCCTAAACCCTAAACCCCCAAACCCTAAGCCCCTAGACGCTAAACCCTAAACCCCTGAACCCTAAGCCCTCAACCCTAAAACCCTAAAACCCTAAACCCCTAAACCCCTAACCCTAAAACCCTAAGAGGATAGCTTCAGAGAAGTCCGAAGGGTTGACAGGCCTCACGTAGAAACTTGCAGAGATCCCAGACTCCTTGGGTTTAGGGCTTGGGGTTTTGGGTTTAGGGTTTTGGGCCTAGGGTTTGGGGTTTAGGGTTTTGGGCTTGGGGTTTAGGGTTTCGGGTTTTGGGTTTTGGATTTACTGATATCGACCCTGCATAGTAGGATCCACGCCTACACAAGGTGCGGTAGCTGTTTGCACGCCTAAGTTTCTGCAAGCCACATACTTAGCCTCGCCTGGAGTGTCTGGACATGCCCTCAAGCTTGAAAACGCCAGACCCTTCAAACCCCTACAACCCTGAAACCTTAACCCCGAAATCCGAAAAAGACGGTCTCTAGCAGGAGGCCATCGACTTTGCCCGGGTGGGGTCACCGATTTTCCACCTCCTCAAGGCGAAACTCAACGGGTTCATGATTAAGGCTGATTAAGGGTTCCTAAAGGTTTTGTAAAGGGGTCTTTCAGAAATGCCATGTTCGCGTTCGGTGTGTTTCAAGGACAAGTTATCGATACAGAACGACATGAACAGAGAGTAGTAAGAATAATAATAGGAACAACAGGAACACGTACACTAATGCTAATATTAGTCATGGCTGCATATATACATACTTGCATGCGTAGATCTCTTTCCTCGGAATCGCCAGTAGTTCAGCTTAGGGCTCACAGCTCACATCTTTAGGACGCATGGCTGAGATGCATGCTTGAGGTGTTGCCCGACGCCCGAATAATGATGAAAATACTCTGTAGGGTCCCTTGCGAAGTAGCAAGACAGACTCAAGAACAGATTGCCAGAAATCCTGAAAACTAGACTCCTAAACCCTACAACCATAAGCCCCAAAACTCCGAAACCAGCAACCCCAAAGCCCCTAAACCCTAAACCCTAAACCCCAAAGCCCCGGTCCTTGAAGGCAGCATCAGCTTCCCAGAGGACACCTCCAGACATGCCAGCAGCGCTCCTTAATGGATTTGGGTTTTAGGGCATGCTATGGTGTGTGTGTATATGTATATACATATATATATATATAATATTATATATATATATATGCACATAAACTGGCTTTTTATAAATGCTGCAAACAAGTCTTGATGAGGAAATAACAGCCCTTCCTATCCCTCCCTGACAGACGCAGCGCATTTCCAGGCAGCCCAAAGATTTCCTACACCGGGCTACTAATAAAAGGGCTCTATTATAAGGGGTTTCTATATGGGCTACTATAAAAGGGCTCTATTATAAGGGGTTTCTATATTGGTTACATAAGGGTTTCTATATGGGCTACTATAGAAGGGCTCTATTATAAGGGGTTTCTACATGGGTTACTATAGAAGGGCTCTATTATAAGGGTTTCTATATGGGCTACTATACAAATAAGGGTTTCTATATGGGCTACTATAAAAGGGCTCTATTATAAGGGTTTCTATGTGGGCTACGAGAAAAGGGCTCGATTATAAAGGTTTCTATATGGGTTAAGGGCTTTATTATAAGGGCTTCTATATGGGTTACGATCGTCACATGAGTTCGAGCAGATACGGATGGACTTGCAGTGCGTAGTTTCCTGGCTCGTTACAGGCCTATGGGTTAGCCCGTCCGCGCTACCGTTATAGTGACACGTCTGTGTACCGATGAATTTGACGTCGTCGGGATTGGCATTGCTTGACCATCAGGCACATGCATCCTTTCGGATTGGAGGTTACTGTGGTGTGCGAGAAGTAAGGACATGGTCTTGATGCATACTGGTTGCTAGCGCGTGGTGGCTCATGGTGTAGATTGTGCTTTCATTGCTCGTTGTCTTTCTCATGTTGGTGTCATTGGCCACGTCGGTTCTCTGCCGGTATGCTACTGCCGAAAGCCTCGTTTGAGCCATGCTCGCTGAATTTAATTCTGCAGCAGTGTCAGGGACTTCTCTGTAGCGGCGACCATGTCTTAAGCCGTTGAGGCCGGCGCTTTTTTTTTAGTAGTAGTAGTAGTAGTAGTAGTAGTAGTAGTAGTAGTCTACACCGCGTCGCAGCTGCGTTCTCTGAAGGTCGGAACCCAGGAGTCATCCGGGGAGGATGTTCACCACACGCCTTCGACTGCTGGCAGCTCCTGGGCTAAACGTGCAGGAGATACGGCGGTTCAGGGTTGAGAGTTTGGGGTTGAAGTATCTTCAGGGTTCAGCGTTTCAGACCCTAAACCCTCAAGCCTAAACCTCATAGGTTAGGTTTAAAAGCCTTTGGAGCTAAGCCCGAAACCCTCAAGGCACGGGGATGAGGACCCCTTCGAAATTGTACCTGGGGGGGGGTTGGCTCTGCCTGCCACTATTTCCGGAACCTATTTTGGGAGAGTGGGGGGGGGGCCAGAAGAAATAGGTACCGGGGCTCCAAACGAGAGAGAAACATAGAGAGACAAGTTTTGTTTTGTGCTGCCATGTCACTTGCTTTGTCAAGGGATGCGGCCCCCTACATCCTTTACCCGCGCTCGTACGGATAAATGGGTCCAGCGAGGGGGGGTCCCTCCTGGTGTTTCAATAGGGGATGTAAGAGGGGAGGGAGAGTAGAGTCACCCCCCCCCTTCCGCGCGGTATGGATTCCGTTGTTGGGCGATTGTGTTTGGTGGGCACCGACAAAGGGAAGTCCCTACATCCTCCACCACACTCGTACGGATAAATGAGTCCAGCGAGGGGGGGTCCCTCCTAGTGTTTTAATTGGGGATGTAAGAGGGGAGAGTGGGGCTCTACGTGGATGGTTTCCGGTGTTGGGCGATCGTGTTTGGGGAGCACCGACACAGGGAAGTCCCCGACATCCTTTACCCACACTCGTACGGATAAATGGGTCCAGCGAGGGGCGGTCCAAAAAGGGTTTAGGAATCTTGAGGGATGTTGAGTTCCGGTACAGATTCATGAAATCGAGCGCCCCTCGCAGCCTCGGAACTCAATACTGTCACAGTCGGGTCCTTTGTCTGAGGGCGATCTTCTCGGATGTTCGGGGGATTCGATCTCTTCGTGCAGTGACAGGACTGTCCCTGTAATTAGTCTGAAGCTTCTTTCAGGCCATCTGCATTCCGAGCCACCTCGCGCGGTGCTGATGCAAGTTGCTTCGAGACTGAGGT